CTACACCTCGGGGAATCCCTCTGTATCCCAGCCAGCGCCAGGCCCCGACCCCTGGCAGGCCCCACCAGCTACAGCCCCTTCCTTGAGGGGCCAGCGGAGCACGGTGAACACCAGCCCCGAGGGATGCCGGAGGGGATGCCCGGGGACACGCAGAGCGGCACAGAGCCTTCTCTCTTCCCTGCTGCCTCCCAAAATCTCCTCCCCTCCCGCGGGAGGGAGCCCCTCGTGCCTACAGCAGCCTGGACCCTGCAGACAACCACCCCCCGTGGGGCACTGCGGTCCCGTCTCGCCCGGCTCCAAGCACTTGGGCTCAGCGAGGAGCACCCAACCCTACAAACACCCCGCTCCCGGTCGAGCGGCAGCTGCCCTCGAGGCGCGCAAGGAGCCGTCCCAGTACGACCAGTGCCCCGGCGGAGGCAGAACCCAGTTCCTACCAGCATGAGGTTGATGTTGAGGTTGAGGATCTGGTGGCTCATGTCTACGCTGTAGGAGTGGGGGAAGTGATCCCGCAGGTACGTGAAGGCCCCGGCGGCGCATTGGAAATGGGTGCAGGAAACCTTCATGCCCTGGGAGGACGGGAGAACGCGTGTCGGGCGCGCGCAGCCCTCTCGCACGCACGCCAAGGCAGCCGACGTCCGTAGGCACATGCCGGCCACGAGGAATTTGCGGAGACTCGGCAAGAGGGGAAAAGCAGTGACCTCCCTTCACGCAGGGCGTTAGGGTGATAAAGCCCAGCTCAGCAGGGGTCAGGTGTGCCCTACCTCCTCCGAGACCCCAAAAAACAGCCGCCACAAGCCTGGAGTGAGCTTTTGAGGCTCACGGGGCTCTCAACAGCTCGGTGCTTTTCCCAAACTGCGTCAGATCGCTCCCCTCCTGGCCCCAAGGGTGGGAGGAACATCAGCCCGGCCGGCAAGCAGACAGAGCCTTGCCGGAGCAGGGACAGGAACGACGGGGCAGGCAGGGACACAACCCTGAGGCGGGTGGCCCCTCCTAACGCTCTGCGGCGCTACTAGGGTCACAGCAGACATCCAGAGCTCGTGTCTGACGTCGATACGCTCATAACCGCCCAGGTTACGTCCTCGGCGCCACCGGCGCGTGGCTGTTACCCGCGCGGGAGAGAAAAGTCGTTGAGGGAGGACCCGGGGGATCGTTACCTCCTCGGAGACTCTCTTGTCCATGGCGCCCAGCATGGAGTGCAGCGCGCCTGCGGAAAGAGGACGGCGGCTCAGCGGGGCGAGTGCACCCTGCCAGCCCCCATGCACTGCTCCCGCAGACCGGGTGTTTTGTACCAGAGAAGCCTAAATCTGCGGCAAGTCGGCCGCAGGCACCCGGCCGGGAACTGACACTCGGGGCACCCGTCTCCGAGGGCACCCACACGCTGCAGCGCCCTGTGAAAAGGCTGCACCAACAGGTCACTCAGCACAGGGAAGTCCCAGGCTGGAAACAAACCCTAACTATTAAAAAGCGAGCATCTTTCGTTTTAACAGACGTGTTTCTACCAGCTTCAGGGAGCAGCCACCTCTGAAAAGGGGCCTGGGCACCACGTCAGCTCCTGCTGCGCAGCGTGCGGCCCTGCGGCCTCCGAGCCGCGATTGTCCATGGCTGGAGAGCAAGGGTCGGGGGACAAGTGTTGGATTTGATCTTTTTACCCCCATTTACTGCTTTTGAGGAGGTGGGATGCTGGATGAGCGGGACAAAACCTCACTGCGGCTGTCACCATGCCAGAAAGGGCATTTGTAATGCCGCAACCCGATGGCGGCCTCCTCGGTGCAACCTCTGACCAAGAAACGGGGCAGCGCACGACCAGGGAGGAAAGGAGAGGAGGCTTCCGACGAAAGCCAAAGTCAACCTCTCGTGCAGCTCCGACGCTGAGCACCCCGCACAGAGGAGGGGAAGAGGCACAACCAGGCTGAGCCACAGCTGCTGGTGGGACCAGGCGGGCCATGCTGCTGCCTGGCCGCGCCGAGGAAGGCTGACAGGGAGCTCGGAGCAAAGCCCGGGCAGAGAGGAGGGACGTCCCTCGCGCTGAGGGCAGACGGCGAGGGCGGGCGGTCTCCCCGGCCTTACCCAGGTTGTAGAGGATGCACGCCTGCTCGTACTTGATGTCCTCGTGAGTCACCGTCTTGCCCGAGAAGATCTCGGTCCTGCGAGGACAGGAGCCTGGTTACCAGCCGTAGGTGGAGGTACCGGTTTCCTGGGTGCGGGCCACGAGCGAGGAGAAGGATTTGTCGGGAGACGCACTCCCTTGGAGTTTCGGAGAAGGGGCCCTCCTGCCCGGCGTCACCCTGTGCATCGGGTGCCAGTGGGAGCTGGTGGGACAGTGCATCGCCACGCGGCGGGCTTGTTTTGGCTTTGTAAGCACACAGACACCCTGTTTACACAGGGTGCCGAGCAATCTCAGCACTGTCACCTTGCACGGTGATGCCGTCCTGCCTCTGCCCTGCGTCTGCTCAGGGCCAGCTGCCGCCCCGCGTCGCCTGATGGCTCAGCTCAGACGTCCTGCCAGCTCCCCAGGCCAGGACGCCCTTTCCCAGGGGGTCCCCAGGACACCCCCGTGCCACCCAGGCACGGCTGACAGGCTTCGGGGAGGAGACATCGGGTGAAGGACGCGCAAGGGGAAGAGGGAGCAGTTGCTCTGCTTTGGGTCAGCCTCTGCTGGGAGCCGATCCTCCCACCTGCAACGCCAGAGCCCCGTGCCGGAGAGAGGGGAAGGGGAAGAGGCTGCTCCTCACCACGCGATGGGCACCGCCGCCTCCTGCTCGGCGCCCATGGGGATGCGGCTCTGCAGGTAGTGGAGTTGGCCGAAGTACTTGCGCAGCGTGCTGCAGCCCTCGAAGTCCCTGGGCACGTTGACGGCACTCTGGAGGGGAGAGAGGAGGAGGAGGAGGAGGAGGCTGCCCCGGGGACAGGACGGTGCTCAGGGGCAGCAGCGGGAGCCTGCCTGATTTGTGGGGAGATCTGCAGGCAGGAGGGGATCGGCCGGCTGCCCCGGGGTGAAGCAGCCCTGCGGGAAGGAGCAAGGCCTTGCGGAAAACGCCTGCGTAAGGCAGCTAGAAAAACAGGTCTGTTCGCCTAAAAATGAGGCTGGAGGGAGCTGCTTTACCAATCCAGAGCAACCAGTTCAGGGAGGAAGAGTCTCTGTTCTCCCTGGCACAGGCTCCTAAGGGTGAAACGAACGGGAGGAATTTGGGAGCGACTGGCAATGCACAAACCGGTCCCGGCTCGGGGAGAGTTTCTGCTGTCTCCAGCTGGTTTCACCACCTGTGTCTCAGCTACCAACTGCCCGGGGTGAGGCTGTCTCTCACCCTCCCAGCGGCCCCCAAATTGATGACCCCAGTGGCTAACACAAGCGTTTGGGCTCTGGAGCTGAGAGCAAAGGGCTGATTTATTCCCTGCGAAGACCTCAGGCACCAGCCTGACCGGATAAAATGACTCCTTCCACCCAGCAGGGAACAGTAGATACAGCAGAGCCTCAACCCCCAACCCCTGCACGCTCCTTGGGGGGCCCAGGATGCAGCCCAGCTGCCGAAAGCCTCGTCCGTGGGCCACTGGTGAGGAAGAGGAGGAGCTATGGCAGCGCTCCAGCAGGGCTCCCAGTCCAGGGAGGCGAGGGGAGCCGGCAGACGTGTCCTGGAGCGGGCGATGAACCAGCGATTCGGGACGGGGCCCGGCTTACCTGTCGGAGCTGCTCCAGCTTCCGCAGCTCCTCGTTGTAGTTCTCCGGGTTCTCCCCATAGTTCTTCAGGACAAACTGGAAGGGGAAGAGAGCGGTGAGAGACCTTCCCTGCCCCACGCTGGCAGCGTGAAGGGGCAAGCGCTGGCTCAGGGCCTTGCATCTCCTGGTTTGGAGCTTATTTGCTCTCCAAACCCCCCCAGCTCCTGCCCGGCTCCTGCTGA